CCATTTTCTGTCCGGGTTGAATGGGATTTCTGAAATTCGTTTGAAATTCTGTGAAAACAAAGAAGAAGAAAAACGGGAATAAACAATGTTGAGATAATTCTGGAAACAAGACCCGAATGTTATACCTTCCGTTCATCCTCACACTTCATTTTTCGTAATAGATCCATTAACGCGACTTCTGTGGGTTGTCCATATACTCGTCCCGTCTCGTCAGGATGTGAATTGTTACAGAGGTTTCCTTTTTACAAACTCCATCAATATTTATATCCACACAAAAATCAAACATAACGTACCGATTCTAAGTAATAATTTAATAGCAGCAGTAAACGTATTATTATTCTTCAATTCAATCGCCGTTTGTACGTCGACAGGTGATTGCATCGTCGCCACATAGAATTTAGTTACCGTCATTTGATTCATTGTTAGAGTCCCTTCATCGAATCGTTATTCATAAAAAGGTAATGCTATATGGATACACGTTACCAGTTTTATCTACACAAACTACATTGACTGATCCTAATCCTTCTACTGATGGCAACTTTTTCATGATTACGTGTCGTTTCGCCATCCTTAATACACCCAACGCAAGCGTTACTGTAACAACGATCGGTAATCCCTCCGGTATAGCAGCCACCGCTAGACTAACTGTAAAATAGGGAATAAATCTAAAAATTTGATCCATGTTGATAAAAAAAAAAACCTTACCTCCAATGGTAAACATTTCCAAAATCCCTCGACCTTGAAAAACGCCAACAAGAAGAATCACACCAATAATACCAAACGAAAAAAATGAAAGTTGTTTTCCCAATTCGTCCATTTTATTTTGCAACGGAGTTCGTTTTACTTCAACCTACCAAAAAACAGAAACACAAAAGTTAATCTCAATTCCACCATTCTCCCCACCAAAAAAAAAGGCAAAAAATTGAAACAAACCTCCTTCATCATACTAAACACAACACCAAATTCAGTACTATGAGATATCGCAACCACAACACCAGTCCCATGTCCATTCCGCACCAACGTCCCCATAAACCCAATATTCGCACGATCCGCTAACGGTAAATCTCGCGGTGATATGTTTTCTATTTGTTGGGTATGTTTTTTACATGGAATTGGCTCGCCTGTTAACGACGATTCGTCAATTTCTAAATCAACTGCCTACAAACAAAGAGTACCAAATTCAAAAAGGAAAAGAGAGAGGGTGAGATTAGATATGGTAATGAGTTTTCGATTTTACTGTTAATATTCTGATATCAGCTGGAATTCGGTCTCCAGTTCCAAATAACACAATGTCGCCCGGAACCACTCCAGATGCGAGGATCGTATTCTGATGAGAATCCCTTTATAAAATATTCAATTACACAACGGATTTAATAAATCAATTTCCACACACCTTAATACCCGACAATAATGCGGTACCAACTGATTCAACGCTTCTAAAGATTGTTCAGACCGATACTCTTGAACAAACGCGACCGTAACAACAATAGTTATAGCCTGCTCAAAAACCAAAAAAAAAAACCACAAATTCCATCATCAGATAAACATCCTCCAAAAAAACTCCAATTCCTTACCAAAGTAATACTAATAGCATCATCATACTGCCCCATAAGCAACGAAATCGCCGCACTCCCAAACAACAACAAAATCATCGGATTCTTAAACTGTTCTATAAATTTCTGTACCATCGTTTCCTCGCTTTTCACATTTAATTCATTTTTCCCGTGTATTGTTGTCCGGATTATAGCTTCTTGTGACGTTAAACCTGTTTGCGTATTGGAATTTAATTGGGTTAGTGATTGTTCGGTTGTGAGTGTCGCGTATATCGCTGACGCTGATGTGGAATCTTTGGGTTGTAATTGTGGTGACATGGATAGATTCGATGTTGACTGCACGCGGATGGGTGAGATTGGTCTTGTATCTCTGGCGGGTGATGAGCTGGATCGTGGGCTCATTGATTGACTTGGAGTTCGTTGGGTTGGCGATACATGCGTTGAATTTAACCCGGAACTGGAGCGAACATGGGTTGGGAGTATTGGTGTGTTGGAGGAAGATTTATGCATTAGATCTTTAAAAAACCTCAAAGATTGCTAATTCTGTAGTTCTGAGGCTTTATCGCGAGATAAGTCTTTGTTTCTGAAATTTGAATTTCTGAATTGACAGCTTGCCTTTTCGTTGTGCAAATTGCCAACTCTGCGTTTGCTGATTTTGAGCATTCGACATGCGCTCCGGTGTGTGTGCACAGTAAGAATGCCAATAAATAGTTGAACAACAGGCGGAGCAATTTAATCCAAAAGACAAAATTTTTTTAGAGCCATGTTGAGAAAAAAAAACCATTTGAAACATTAAAAAGACATATGGAAATGAAACGAAAAAGTCAAGGTGATTTTACTGAAAACGCAACCAAGTTAGAAAAAGCCTTTCAAAAGCTCAAAAACTCATGTAACTCACGTATCCAGCTCCAATCAAGTAGTCAGCCAAAGTTTCAACGGATTTAGCTGCGCTTCCTGGTGCAACTGGTGGATCCATTTCGTCGTAAACTCCAATCAAAACAGCTTGTTTCGTTTTCACGGCAATAACACCTCCTTGTCCCTAAAACCAAACAAACAAAAAAAACACAACAGAATTACAATCTATTGTTTTCGCGTTTTTAAATGACGAATTAAGCATACCTTCTTTCCGTATATGGATCTGTCGTCACACTTCAGGGCGATGTACTTAATTCCTCCAACTGGGAGACCGTTGGCACGAATACCGGAAGGGTCGGTGTATGCGGCAAGTAGACCTTGGATTTCTGGGCCTTTAAGCTGTTAATTATACGAAAAAGATTAAGCAATCTTAAATAAAGCCTCCATAACAAAAAATTCAAAAAATCAATAAAAAGTGACGACAAGTTCCATTCAACATTGATGGAGTAATTAGACAAAATAATACGTAACAACGGATACTATATGTTGCAATACGAATGAAAAAACAAAAAGATCTAAAGCGAAACATACCGAAAAGCCAGGGGAAGAAGCCCAGGTCGAACCGTCGTGGCCGTGAATAGCGGCTTTGTGGATAGTTCTTTGAGCGATTAAGTTCGAAGTGTAAGCGTCCCACGACATTTTAAAACAGAAAAAAGCCAAGAATGAGTTGAGGTCTGAACACAAATGCGTCAAATCTTCACCGACAACCAACCAGCAAATTTTCTTTCGTCATGCATTCTTTATTTTAAGGGAAATATTAATGTATATTGATCTTTATGATTTAGCGGGTAATCCCTGAATTTGGCTGATTAAAAACGCTTTCTCATCGTTGAATTGCTCATCATCTGAAACAACGATTTAGAAACTGCTGGAAAAAATGAAATTTGCACAGATCTCACCTGATCTATCGTTATGGAATTTCGTTAAAAACGCTATTAATTTTTCCCTATTTCGCTGCAAAATATCCAAAATAGCTTGTGATTTATGAGGATTAGCGACAAATATCTACAAGCGAGAGTTGGTCAATAAATGAGGTAGTAATGTCTAAATAACACATACTTTAAACGTATGGAACGCTTCCAGCTGTATATTTCGGCTTTCGTCCCTTAATAAATTCATCATCAGTTTCAGATTCTCGACATCAGATATGTATTTCGTCATTATATTGTAATTTGCGCGATCCAACAGCAATTCTCCCAACAGCTAAAATCAGAGATTGCTTATTGAAACAATTTTAACTAAGTCACAAAATATGAAATTCTACCTTTAAAGACTGCCTTTTCGTAACATAATTCGACGATTTTAGAAGGACTGTGAATTTTTCGAAAAACTGTTGAAACCCCGTTAAAAACTCATAGATATTGGAAGAAATAATAACAAATACCGCGTCATATTGTTGTTCCAAAAACTCTGCCACCAATTGTTTATGATGCGTTAATAGATCCTATTCAACATCAGATAAAACCAAAGATCCAGTCAAATAAGTGGATTATTTTACGTTAAACGTTGCAAATGCATCCGATGATACATCAAACGTCGACAATTCCACATATACAAAAAAATTCCAAAAATGCGGCGACCATAGTATCATTTTCGCCAATGATTCATGTCGGACGCATTCTCGCAACACCATCCCACAATTCAACGCAACCTCCTGATTGTTATATCTATTTGGATAAGATCAAAATTCGAGTTTTAGATTTTGAAATCGCTCGCCAAAACGATCTTACCCCTGCATGAGAGTTATCAGAACCGGCTCCCTGGTACTGATATATTCTGAGGTTGGATACCGTGTCCCGATTTTCCGACGAAGTAAATTATTAAATATTTGCGCAACATCTTTCCGAGCCTAAACAAAAAACAAACAAAAAAAAACAAATCAACAAAAAAATTTCTGAAACAAAAAAATGACGCAATTCAGCAAATCTTATTACTTCAAACTCAAACTTTTGTATGTTTTGTGCGAGCAGCGGAAGTAAATCCGCACTGTAAACTTCTTGAGCAAGCTGGGCAACGAACTCAGGGACAGGATCGCTCTCTGCAGCAAACAAATAAATTACTTCTTGATGTTTTTCGTTCTTCAAACAATAAACAAACCTCCATCTCCGTATAAAATCGTCTTCATCGAAACTAAATTCTTGGATATCTCTTCATTCGCCTACCAAAAAATAAAACAAAATAAAATGCCCAGTTAAAATTAAACGCCCAGCAAACGCAATGATATAACAAATCAAATGATATATTTGCCGATTAAAACAGACAAATGCGTACCTTTTTCTTATCGCCGGACGAAGAATCTAGTTTTGCAATCGCGTCTTTTGTGGAGCGGACAAGCTCGTGAGGGGATTTGGGCCCTTTTCTGAAAATAAACGCCATATTCCTTTTTTGAACTTTTTTGGTGCGGCGGAGGGGGATGCAAAAATTTGTCAACAGATTTTGCTTTCAAAATGTTACGGTTTAAGATCTTTTGAAAAAGATCTTTACGCCCCAGTCAACAAAAAAAAGTAAGCGAAAGGTTAAACAAAAAAAATGCTCCGAATCGGGGAATCGAACCCCGATCTCCTCGGTGAGAGCGAGATATCCTAACCGTTGGACGAATTCGGAAATGATATGTATTAGTATTGCTGCGTACATATTGTAAAAACATGATGCTGATTTGGACAGGATCAAGATTGAATGTTTTTGATTTCGAAGGCATATTGCGTGCATCACCTTTCCAGTCAGCTTACTTCCGTGGTTAGGTTGGGATAGTTAGTAAGTGTTTAGTAAAGATTGGGATTGAAAATGTTCCAGGAGAACTTCAAAAGAGGGCAAAAAAGATATAAAAGATAAGTTTGCACTGAGGGATTGGCATAAAAATCCATGATTAAGTTTGAGAGTTTGAGTTTGTGAAGGATGATATTGAATAATTAAAACTGTGTGTATATTTTGTGGTATGATTCAGCTTGAAAATATGTTCTGTGAGAAATCGATTGTCAGAATCAAAAAAGATATTTAATTTTAAGATATCAAGTGGGGGTTTTGGTTTCAACAGCAATCACACAAATGCGAAAAAGTTTCAGATTCCAACATGAAATTACAAAATGTTGTGTCTTGAACATATGCAAAGCTTCAAAGTCCAAGTCGGAATCAACAAAATTTCAATTCATTGAAATTTTCAACTGCTGTCTTACTATTTTGCAAATAATTAATGGTCCTGGATTGTAGCAATATAAAGAACTTGTTGCGGTATTCATTCATATTTTTTGGTTTAGCGTAATTGCCTGTAAAAGTAATGTTTTAAATGCTGCCAACGTTATATTATTTCCAGTATCACCGTGCGGAATGACCTTCTCATCCAATCTTTGATGATTAAACAGAGAATCTGCTCTCATCAGAACAGCAACTAAAGTATTGAGGTGAATATTTATTTTTTGATTAAGAATAAAAATAATAAATGATATAGATACTGCGTTGGATCAAAATAGCAAGTGTTATCTGAATACGGTCAAAACAATAAAAATGGAAAAATGAGCAAACTCTTAAGGAAAACACATCTTCTATCCTTGTTCTATTCTAATAAATCCTCATCATGCGGTCCAAATTGAACTAACTGTGAATTTTTGAACCAATTACCCCAAGTTTGCAGCAAATTGAACTCAAATCCACTCCAAATCTGTAGAATGTCCTTGAAAATTCCTCCATTAACAAATATTTGTCAACACACAGCAACAAGTAAACCCGCCAGGAAAACTTGGCAGTAAAACCATCTTTAAAAGCAACCAAAATCAGCAGACTTCTCAAGTAAAAGACGCCATGACAAGATTATGAAAAACCAAACTCCAGATTGGAAAGTTCATGCCTCGCAATCAAAGAATTAATGATTTTGCGCTTTAACCATACCATCAGAAAATATTCGATCTCTATCAATTGACCAGAACCCACGTATCAAAACTAAATAGCAACAGAAACAAATCATAGGAATTAGCAAAAGGATGAAAGAGGTATTGGTATTAATGCGTTCTGTACTCTTTTGATCATTATTAACATTATAAAAAAAAGTATACAAGATCCGATATGAAAAAAAAAGCAACAAATATAAAAGTAAATTGTGGGAACACACGGTTGAAGAATTTCAATTCCAAACGCACCATCCAAAATAAAACTGACACTACTCCAACCGTGAATGTCATGAACGCAAAATGAGGTATTAGTAGACCGCGCGGCCAGTAAACCAACTGCATCATTTGCACACATGAAGAAAGATGAAGAGCAAATACTGAAAAGGGTTGAAAAGTACGCACAAACGTTGACCACTGCGAGTATCGAGAAAAAGAGGGGATGCAGCAAATCAGAGAACAAAGATCGCATCTCATAATCAAATGATAAATTCGCTTTTTTATATTCAATTCGAGGATGCTTTTCAAATTCAATTAAATCTTATCGTGACCCATATACACCACACAATCACGCAAACTACAGAATCATTTCGAGATAATAATATAAACGATTCATTGAATACGGTGGTGGCCGTGCAATTGCTCAGCAAAACTGTGCCAGAGCCATCTTTGTACAACCCTTTAATTTCCTTGATGGCCGAGTACTATCCTTCAGGTATTTAAAACTCATGCTCTATTTGTAGTTTATCGTTTATTATTATATAGATCCTAACGGAAACTATCACACTCAACCTGCAACAGGAAACGCTCCTCCAATTGTAATTTTGAATAATTTCCTTGAAATTCTCAAACTTACTTTTTATTTACTTTCAAGTACACACAAAGTCAGCAGCCATACGGCTCCCAACCACCTCCTAATCCCTATCAAACGCAAGCTCCTCAACCTCCCGAAACTCTATACCCACCTCCACCGCCTCCACCAACATTTCAAGAATCCACATCAGGCAAATTCTCCAAAAGCGCCCAATTTAAAGACATATGGGCGTCCATGTTTTTCTTTGTACATCTATGCGTATACAGCATAGCTGTGTACTTTGGGTTATTAGAATTGCTGGCGCAAATCCGAAATCCAACGAGTTTTTTGAATCGACCAGCGGAAACAAATGGGAACTCTGTATCAGAGATTCCTTCGAGTGGTTTGGCGAGGACGCTTGCGATCACGTTAGGTTCATCTGTTGGTGCAGCAGCGGTGTTTAGTTTGATTTATTTCCTTTGTATTCAACGGTATCAACTCAATTGTTTTTTGTTTTTTTTCGTTGCTGCTATTTTTTAAATAAAATTATTGAAAAATCTTCAATAGATTTACGGGGAAGATGATTCACGTCACGTTTATAATCGCAATACTGATTTTTGCTTTGTTTGCGGCGTACACGATTTATGTTCAGAAATTCGCTGGAGGAATCATAGTTGGGTTTTTTGTGTTAATCTATGCTTTAATGTACTACGGGTTGAGATCAAGAATACCGTTTGCAAAGGTAATTCTCCGTAAGTTTTCATGGCATTTTTTTTGATTTCTATTTCGTTTAGGTGCTGCTTCGTTCCGTTTGTAATGTAACGAATAAATACCCAGGAATGCTTGCGGTTGCAATTTGCGGATTAGTTGTTTCTATTCTATACAATGCGTTGTGGTTTGCAGCATTAATTGGGTGGTTTTTAAGATTTACAGCAAACGATCAATCCTTATACGGTGTACTTTATGCTATTATATTCGGACTTGTGTTTTCTTTGTATTATCCAACTTTTTGCATGTGTCGGAAAGCAGAATTGACTAACGATTTTTGTTTATTTTTTTCGAGAAGGTATTGGACAACCCAAGTAATTTACAACACCATTCATGTGTCTATCTCTGGAGTGTTTGCAACATATTACTTCCTTGGAACTGCAACTGCCGGAGGTGAAATCGTTGTTTCAGTCAACCACCCAGTAACTGCATCATCAAAACGTGCACTCACGGTCAGTTTCGGAAGCATCTGTTTTGGGTCTTTGGTTTTAGCACTATTGCAAACAATCCGATTTATAGTTCAGTCTCTCACAACCGATTCATTACGTTACGGAAATCCGGTGGGATATTGCTTTGTGTTGTGTTTTGGATGTTGTTTGCAGTTTTTCGAAGACTTGGTGCAGTACTTTAATACGTATGCGTTTGCTCAAGTTGCGATTTATGGAAAGGACTTCTCGAAAGCAGCGAAAGATACTTGGGCGCTGATTAAGACTCGCGGAATCGATGCGGTAAATTGTATTCATTTACCAGTACTTTTATTTACAATTTTTTTTATAACTTTTGATTTGATAGATTATAAATGATAATCTTATCGGTAACGTACTATTTGTTGGATCAATGGTTGCCGGATTGATTTGTGGACTGATTGGCTACTTCTATCTCCTTTACACGACCCCCAACGCAACACCTGGAGTTTATACGATTGTCATTGTCGGATGTATACTTGTAGGATTATCCGAATTTGGAGTTTTGAATACAGTTATTGACAGCGGTGTTGTAACCACATTCGTGTGTTTGTATGCGAAGCAATTCTCTTCATGGAAAAATGCAGATGCTGATGTTTGTGTTTATAGAGCCGAGGATCCAGGTACACTTGGAAGAACAAAGGTAGTTTTGTGATTTTTGTTGTTTTAAATAAGTTTTTAAATTGCTTATTGAAACTAGCCTGAACTTTATAACAAGATTCAGGAAGTGTATCCTAGCATTGTTGCACAAGTTTGAAGATACAGTGTTCGAATCCTATAAAGAATATCTACGATATTGCAATAAAATTAAAAAATAATCTTGTTGAAATTTGATTTTGAGACCATGTTGATTTCAATGATGAATAATATGGTGTTGGTTTATGGAAGTATTGATTCGCAGGATAAAAAACGAGATTACACATGAGATGAAAGAGAAGTGGATATTATATTATGGAGAGACAAATCAATAAAAAAATTGATGAATGAAAGATTCGTAAATCTTCTAAAAAGCTCCGAATCGGGGAATCGAACCCCGATCTCCTCGGTGAAAGCGAGATATCCTAACCGTTGGACTAATTCGGACGAGCTTGCATGTGTTGTTCAAAAGCTGTTTATAAAGTATATTTCAAACTACGGAGTCGTGAGGTGAGTAATCTCGAGTACTGTGTTAAACAAGCCGATAGTTAAACTTTGCGCATAAACCACAAAAATAAAAATAATAAATGTGAATTTGACGATGTTGTCAAAAGGCTCGGCCTTCGTCGTGGAATTTTGAAATTTAAACGAGAATACAACGGGCAATTTGGCTGATTATTCCCTCTTACTCACCCTTGGGTTCCATTTGGGAAAAAATCCGGCGTAATATTTCAACTACTTCTGGAACTGCGGCAGAAACGACAGGTGTAATTTGAAATGAATCCCTTGTTCGTGTCTGACCATACACACTTGAAGAGGTGGAAGAATTCGTTAAAATAAAGAGAAGCGAAATTGTGAGCAGATTTCCTCGGCCGAAGGTGATTTAGGAAAAGTTGATAAAAGACTTGAATTATAAACTTGAGAACGGCAAACACCGCAGTTCAATAATTGTTGTTTATCTCTTGCATCCCGATTACACTGGCATCGAATCGAAACATTTGCTGCAGGTGATGAGGATCATTGAAAAGAAACGAGTTGAAAAATTTTCACGCATTATATCGAAAA